AAAACACAGATTGGAAAATGAAGATATTAGCTAAATGCTTTTGAATGGAGGAGGAGGAAAAAAAAGAAAATTAATTTCCATATAAATTATGGTTGACAATTAAAAATTGGTTTAGTTTTATTTGAATAACCCAAGTAAAAGGTCATAATTAAAAGAAAAAAAATCAAGGAACTACAAATAAACTAAAGTGCATAAAAACTATTTAATAAAAATAAAAAAGGATATTCCGCAAAATGTTAAATAAAATAGTGACAATTTATATAATACTACTCAGTGTCTGTTACAAATCCATAACTGCCATAAACACAAAATTACCCGAAGACGTAAATCGGAAATTTACTGCCCGTCATATGGGCCAGGCAATTGCCCAGTGTTTCGGTCAAAATGAAATTGTTAATTGTCTGGAAAATAAAATGCTACAAACTCTCGATGCGGCCATAAAAAATAATGACACCTGGCAGTTTAGTGATTATATAACGCTGGAAAAGAATCCCTCAAGCATGGCCAAGGATTATGAAAAGTTTCAAAATTTATCAAGACAACAGCGCTCGATGGGCGATTCGCTGGCAGTTAAATTGCTACAGCTGGCACGATCACGCTCACTGAAATTCGAATTACCCAGCAGTGTGACATCACTGTTAGATACAAATAGCATTTCCGGTGGCCTGGATGATTTTATAAATTCCGCCACAGAGGAGTCATCAACGACATCGACACCGCTGCAGGAAGAAGGTACGCAACGAAAAATGAATGGTCTTGTAGATGATAAAATTGCTAATATAAACAAAAAAGCGAAAAACCCTAATAAATTCAAACCCTCCTCCTCTTTTCATTCCCCTATCTGTCTGAATTCACCGTTATCCTCCATGATGGCGAATAAAAATAAAATCTGGTACCTAACGAATAAATATCGGAAAAAAACACCCAAAGGTCGTAAAAAGAAGTACAAAGATAAAAATATGGCAATGATGGGCGGTATGGCGATGATAGCAATGGTGGCCCAAATGTTTCTGGGCAAAGTGATACTGATAGCTGGCGCGGCATTTGTAATGGCTAAAATAGCTTTGGTTATCTCAGTATTGGTGAGTTCATTAATGCTTTTTTCCCTTCATTCGAAATAGCTGAAACCGAAAATGATTGAATTTAAAATTCCTCAAAACTAGGTCCAAAATTACAATACTCATTGGGATTAGTGAACAGAAAGTGAATGTCCGAAACTTAAGTCATATCCGGTCTGGTCAACTAGGCGTTTATTTCATATATAGTATTGTTATGAGTACATATCGTATACATACATATGTGTTTGAAATGTTTACAAACAAAAAAACAAGGCTGTTGTCTAGTCCCTAATAAATATTGTATTGGATCTTAGATACGAAAACAAAATAATGTTTTTATTTTTCTATGGACTTTGTAGTTAAAATCTAAGAAACTATGCACTACGACTGGGGAATTGAAGGAGGGAGGAAAATTCCTGCGAAAACGTTTTTCATCCACCATGCTAAATTTCGGAATTTTCGGTTGTAAACCTTGGAAATTCCAAAGCATTTATAAATATTGCAAATGTTTTTCCGTGATTTCAGCAGACACACAAACATAGATTTTATTTTAATTTAAATTCTGTCGGGCTGAGTATATTATAACTCCTATACATTCCAAAAATCTTGCTAAAAGAACTGGACCAACAAGAAATGATGCGTGGCCTTTGTTTGGGAGCTGTGTGAAAAACTACATAGTGACTACATAGTGCGAATATTTGCGGTTATCATCATATGAAGGCTATGTCTAATTTATAACCGATATAGCTCAATTTCGAACCCAATATTTTAGTTTTGTATTTCAATTCTTTCCTTCGGGAGGTATATGGTTTTTTATCATGATATCCTTAGAAGGCGCAATTATTACAACAGATGGCTAAATCGTCTTCGAATTCCATACTTTGTAGGGTAAAAACTGGCAATTTCGAGTAACGACTATCCACCATACAATGCAGAACACGCCTATATGGTGATCCGGGTGTTGGCGTTACACACGGATCAAATCAGTTAACTTGTTTAATATAAATATGGGGTTATATGAGGACTACCCCAAAAAGTAGGCGAATAATAATTTTTGGGAGAGAGATCCCCAATATACCGAAAATTGGTATGTGCCCTTTTATGGGTGCTAGGAGAAAAAATGGACCTATATTTTTAATTTTTAGTGGAGAAATTTGATGCCCAATATAAACTCAATAACGCGTTTAAGAACCCAAAAATACCGAAAATTTGAGGGTACCCATAAAAATGGAACTATGCCTAAACGTGTACCGATATACCCCATCTTTGAATTTGACTCTATGCAAAATTTTGGCGATCGATCTCAATTTGTTTAGAGGCTAGAGTTATTTCAGCAGACAGACGGATCGTCATAGAATTTTACCCTGATCAAGAATATATATATATACTTTATAGGGTCAGAAATGATTCTTTCGATGAGTTACAAACGTAAATAATCTACATTATGATTGTTTTCTTTTAAATAAGTATATTTAGGTAGTTATCGACAGGAAGACCATTATTATTGCTTACGGTAGTACACCTATGAGACATTGAACCTATAAGAAGCTTAATTTGATCCTTTGATATAGTATTCCTCGCATCTTGAATCTTTGGGAAGTCTGTCTGTTTCTTTGTTAAACCCTTTGAATTTTGCTAAAACCCTGATTTTCGACTCCCACAACCAAGCTTTGAAATGTTTTGGTGTATTTTTGGAGGTTATTGTAGGTATATCTTCGGAGAATGGAACCATACCGTTTTCCAATACATTTGTGTAATCAATTCCATACATTACTTTATAAATCTCGTAAATAGATCGAACTTCATAAAAAGGAAAACAGTTAAATAACATCATTGACCCTCGTCCTTCCTGCAGGGTATCCTTGCAATCCTGCGGCCCAAACCTTTAATTTTAAGGCCTTCTAACTACAAATTTGTTCCCGTCAGAGCTTTAAATATTAAACTTTAATTCACTCGAGAACAAAATATTATGTTGGGAAAAAATCCATTATTTTTTCGGCAGATGGTTGTTCTCATAGATTTCTTGTTGGAAAAGTACAGTTCGCATTTATTATTCGAATTGGATGAAATTTAGCACAGCCCAAGGAACCTTTTGAAATTGGAAAAATATCGGTTCAAATTAAGATATAGCTCCCATATATATTTTCGTCCGATTTAAGATAAATGGCGAACTAAAGTCCCTAAATATCTTTCGATTCGCACGAAATTTGGCATAGCGTTGTGAATTGGGCCTAGAGTGACGTCTGCCAAGTTTCGCGAAAATCGGTACAGATTTAGATATAGCTCCCATATACATATTCATACGATTTTATGTAAATGGTGTACCAAAGTCCCTATATACCCTTCGATTTGCACGAAATTAGGCATAACGTACTGAACTGAGTGTAGAGTGACGTCTGCCAAGTTTCGTGAAAATCAGCCCAAATTTAGATGTAGTTCCCATATATATTTTCGTCCGATTTTATGAAAATGGTGCACCAAAGTCCCTATTTATCTTTCGATTTGCACGAAATTGGGAGTATCATACTGAATTGAGTCTAGAGTGACGTCTGCAAAGTTTCGTGAAAATCGGTTCAGATTTAGATATAGCTCCCATATAAAGTTTCGTCCGATTTTATGTAAATGATGCACCAAAGTTCCTATATATCTTCGATTTGCACGAAATTTGAAGCACCGTACTGAATTGTTTATGGTTCCTGGTTTATTGGCTCGATAAAATCGGAGAAATGATCGAAGTTGACCGGCAAGTTAGCATTCGTATCATCGTCCAGGAAGTAAAAATCGAGGATTGTGAAAACCGACTACTAGAGTTTTTTGCAAATAGAGAGCAGGACTTCTATGAGAGAGGTATTATGAAATTACAAAACGGGCATATTTCTCCCAGATCGGACATTCCGAAGCACGTTAAATAAAATCCTATAGTTCTCTACCTGAAATTGACATTTTGCTAAAAAAAATTGGGTTCCTGTCCCAGACAGACTTTTAAGTTCAACTTGATTCGTCATCCATGTAAAATATCGTACCAATTTAATATCGAGGGATATCTAAGCTTTCATACATTAAAAAATATATGTAAACTTTTTTAAAAAATATCTAAAAGTGATTTATTTTCAGGGTAGTCTCAAAAAGGGGAACAGTGGAGGTGGTGGTAACACCGAACATGTCATTGTAACCGGAGGAGGTGGAGGCGGCGGCGGTGGTGGTGGCCACAGTCATGAACATAGTTCAGGCTGGCATCGCAGTATGCCACTACAATATCGGCATCCAAATACCGAACCTCCTATAGCTTATTATGAAGTTGCTGATAATGAGGAGGAATTCAAGAGAAGACAGATACCAGTCTATTGAAGATATTTAGCAGATAGATGATTGATATTTTCAAACACAAAAAATTAATTTCTTTATTATTTTTTGTAATTATTGATTGTACATGCAAATACATTCGAACTTATGACCTAAAATTTCCAATTCTGTTGACTTTTTTCTTTCGATAACTTAATACATAATTAATTAAATAATTAAACAAAATAATATTTAAAAATTGTTTTATGTTGTTTTCTTCATCTCCTATGTACGGTAAGTATGTGTGTGTGTGTTTTACGTTGTTGTATGTATTTCAGGTTGGTTGCATTTGAGAGAAATTGGAGTGGTTCATGCCACTCGGTTATGCTTAAATGATTCTCGAATGTGGTCTCTATGCCAATAAAATGTTACACTTGGTTTGTGGCTCATGATTATTTCTCTTTATAATTTTTAAGGTTAATCAGTAAAAAATCTTTGGTAGACAAGTGGCTGTAGTTTTATGGTGATGGGGGCTTTTTGTGGGGGGTGGAAACTTTCACCAGTTTGCGTGATATCACTCAACCTCGCACTCCATCTCCATGTGTAAGTGTCACTATCGCAAAATCATTTGGTTTGGGTATTAAAATTGGACTAATTAGTTTACGATGTTGTTGGCACCCATGCATTGTAAGCCTTATCCTGCATCATCATTTCATCGTCCATGCTGCGATGATAGGAACCACTTTCATGACCGCCTTCGTATTCATTCTGATGACTTGAGGAATATGTGTGACTTTGTTGAACTTGTGGATGTTTGACAATTTCATAGGTGGTCTTCTCACCACCCTCTCCGGATACCAATTTCTTGAGACCAATAATGGCACTGATAATTAGAGCAATTTTGCCCACAATCAATGCCTTGCCGGCCACAATGGCTATTGAATGGTATGCCATCTTCAGAATAGCCGCTTTCAGCATTACGGCAGCTATAAAGGGTCCCAAATACTTTTTGTCGTCCTTTTTCTTGCGACCCTCCTCCACTCCATCACCGCCCACAATTTCATCGGCAGCCTCATTGGCCTTCGCTGTGGTCGAGGTAAAGAAATTCATTACCGATTGCATTACATCCTGGGCATTGCTCTTGCCAAAGGACAATAGACGTGGCAAATTGACTTGCAACTGTCGTGATCTGATGAATGAGGTACATCTTTCCATTAGCAAGGAATCCAGACTTTTCGATGAAAGATTTTCTAGATCACGGTTGCCTAGCTTCATATCCATAACACTGGAACGTCCCGTCCTCAATTCGCTGTCATTTTTCTTAACCAAGGTAACGCCTTCAATGATATTGATATTCTGGAATTTCAGGGCACGTCCCAAAAGTTTTGCACCCTGTATTTTGAAACACCACAGCACATCGTTTTGATTCAGGCAATGATTTAGAACATGATGCAACGTTCGTGAAACGGAATTGTCAGTTAATAGGCCACGCCCACTATGTGTTGCGGTTACAATGGGTATTTCTACAGCCACACAGCTACTGCTCAAGGCCACTGTAATTAGCGCACACAGGTACACTAATTTTGAACACATATTTAAAGGACAAATGTCTTTAGCTTTCCTTTTTTATTCTGGTAAATCCTTTAGTTGTTTTTTTATTATATTGATTTTACTTTTTCGAAATAAAATCACTTCTTGTCTTTTGCAATTCTCATTCACAAACGCACCACCTCGATTTCTTTACAAAATGCAACTGATCTTTAGGCTTAGCATGGCTAAGAAATTTATACATTTTCTTCAAGTTTTTATAAAAATGTGCAGCTGTAGATCTTTAGACAACAATTACTGGACCTTGTTAATGCCTGAAAATGCGCTTTTGTTTCACTTCTATTCATTAATGTTGTTGTTTCTTTTTTTGTGTTTTTGCTTTTTAAAGTAGACTGCGGCGCATTATTGGCTATTCAGAGCATGTTAAATAAAGAAATGAAAATAATATTGCAACACCATTTCACTTGTTGGCAAAATTTACAATAGACATTCAAATTTGAGGGAGCAATATAATGAAAGGCCTATATTTGGTGTAAAGTTCTACATTCATTATATTACAATTAGTTTTTAACGTAAAGAGAAAAAAATCGATATAGCATAGTACAAAGTGAAGCAGCATTTTATAGGACATGCTCTAAAATTATGTTCAAAATTCAACTATTGACTTACCTAATGTATCCTTTATGCATTTTTCTAATGCAACCTGCAAAGGAAGAAACATGCCAATTACTAGTAAAATTGACAAATATACAGCTTTTTGCTTGATTAGATTAAATTGGGGAATAAATTTGGATTTTAGAATTAAATGACGAAACTATTTCGGAAAATCGTTGAAGCACTATCACAGAGGTTGCCTATATATTGTTCGGCTCATGCTAAACTATTTTTATTGTCTGTATATTAAACTTGTCATTCCGTTTGCAACACATCGAAATATTCACCGGAGATCCCATAAAGTGTATATCGTCATCATAAATGCAAACAGACGTAACTACACTCCTGTAAAAAACTATAGCTCGCAATATTGAAGATAGAAATTCTGAACTTATATTAATGCTACTTCTGGGATATTTGATATTGAAAATGAGATATATCCGCCAATTTTTTACAGTAGCCTCCATATAGCGGTACCCTATGGGATATGTCTGATATATCTGAAACGATTTCAAAAAAAAAACTTAGCGCACGTCACTCCATACTCAATTTGGTAAGCTGTACAAATTTTAGTCTCAATCGGATAACTATTAGTCATTTTCTTGTACTATAATTGTGTTGTAGTTAAGTCTTTTTGTTTCAGAAAATGTCATGTTAAAAAGCCGTAACTGACATAAAACTTTTAAAAACAAAAAAAATCCTTTCCAAAAATAAATAAGGCTCTACAGTGCAGTTAAACTTTTAAAAAATTTCCAGCCATACTCCATTTTTATGGATTTTATAAAGTTTTCTTCTTCTACTGTAAAATTAGTATGCATTTATGGTGACGATATATTATTCATTAAAATAAAATTCTATGTCGATTTATTCGCGTCTGTCCGTCTGTTGAAATCACCATTGAGATCGCATTATTATTATTATTAGAGATAGAGTTTTGAAATGTTGCATTGGGATTTCTTTTAGTTTTAGGATGGTTGATGTTGGAAATGGTTATGACGGTACCCCTAAATATTTGATTCTCATTTGGTATCAAATCATCCTACCAAAAAGTATCAATATTGGCCCACTTTTTAAGGAGTCCCATATATAACGATACATCTCAAATTTCGGTATTTTGGGGAGCTTGGACATGTGTTTCAACCAAATTAGCTTTAATTTTACATATTGAATACTCATTGAATAGAAAATCTCTCTACCAAAAGCTGCCAATACCCAAGTCTCCGGGTAGTCCCCATGACATGTTTTTCAGCCGAATTCGCTATGGAGTGTCAAATCTACCTTCCTACGAAACATTATGAATGTAAGTGTGATCAGGTGGATCTCCCACAGAACATGACATGTTTTTAAACCGAATTCGCTCTAATTTGATTCTCAAAAAAATGATTAAAGATTAATTGAGTTCAAAAAATGTTTAAATTCTTTGAAGCTGAGGTTGTCATTGCAGAAAAAACAACATTTCTATGTGTAGCTTTCTGGAGACTATTACATCGTGTAGGAAATAAATTACAGTTGGAGTTGTAATTATTTGAGGTTCTATGCAAAATTAGGGACTTATATACATAACTCTATTTCTAAGCAAACATGTTGGCATCATAATACCTTCCCTCATGCTAAATATTAAAAATATCGAAAATGGATAGGTATCATAATATGGGGGAAAGGCGTAACTGGGGGCCGATATATTATACATCATTCGCGAACCTGGCCGTTCTAGTTTTTTTCCTCAATATCCCTCAAAGGTAGAATGATTAAAACAGATGGCCAAATCGTCATGGAATTCCATATTTCGATTACATAATATATACACTACTATGGTGGAATGCGAAAACATGGGGATAAGCCCAAAACGCGGAAAAAATCAGATAACTATGTTAATATAAAAAAGGGGGTTGTATGGGGACTACCCCAAAAAGGGGGCGAATATAAATATTTTTTAGGGAGATTACAGCGAATTTGGTTGAAAAACCCCGCTCAAGAACCCCACAATGCCGAAAATTGGAGGCTATCCGAAAAAACTGATCTATATTCATAATTTTTGGTAGGGAGTTTTGGTACCTATTAAGAACAAAAATACTAAAATACAACCAATTCGGTGGAAAAATATGATAAAAAACCCCAAAATACTGCAAATTAGAGGATACCGTTATATGGGGGTTACCAGAAAAAGTGTTCCTATATTTATAATTTTTTGTGGTTAAATTTGGAACCCAATAGGAACCCATTGTAGCAAATTTCAGCGAATTGGGTTGAAAAACGTGCTCAAGAACCCCAAAATAACGAAATTTGGGAGGTACCCTTATATTGAAGCTATACCTAAACGTGGACCGATATATATCATCTTCGAACTTGACCTGCCTGCTGACAAAAGACAACATTATGCAAAATTTCAGCACCCTATCTCAATTCCTTCAGAAGATAGCGTGATTACAACAGACGGACGGTCGGACGGACGTACATGGCAAGATCGTCTTAGAATTTTACCCCGATCACCCTTTATAGGGTCGGAAATACTATGGTGGAGGGTATAAAAATGGGTGAAAATGTGTTGAAGCTAACAAGTTTTTTTGGTTCTTTCCTGATTTGTGACTAAACTGAAATATTTTCCGAGTATTATCAGTATTCAGTACATCCCTTCTAATTACTTGTCCATACTCCCTTCACCAGGGACGTACGCTGGGGGCGGCCCGGGGGGCCCGAAATTAATTTTTTTCACAGTAGATTTATGTTTGCAACAGCGAATTTCTTCATTTTGTACTACCGGCCGCCCCGAAATGAAATCCTGTGTACGTTGCTGCCCATCACCGTGGGTTGTGTTGTGATGTTCGGCTTATAATTGTAGCCTATAGATGGAATCGAAAAAAAAGTACAAAAATAAGTTTTCGCTCCACTTTATTCTAAAATTATTATCTGATCATCACCGAAAATTATAGACGTTGTTCTTGACCATAACTGGAACCTCATGAAACATTTCAAAGCGATCAGCGCTATATTGCCGCCATCTAGTGTGGTAATGGATTACTTAATAATATCTCAGTACCTAAGCACTTGCAAATATTTACATGTAACTCCCACATCCAAGTACATACGACAATATGCAATATTGATATCAATTTAAAGGCCAACCACCCCTCTTGGATATACTATCAACTTTTCGGCTCTATGTCCTTCAGGAGTGAATATATACTATATAGAATACAAATTTTGTCCTTTTTCACATAAAAGACAGGGTCCATTTGACCCGCTAAATATTGTCCGATCTTTATAAAAACATGCATGCTTATTCTTTGGCCCGATCCGCTTCTCTATGTAAAAATTCGAGATGTTTGGACCATAATTGCGGCCTCTAGAGCGACCAAAAAAACCGACAAAAATAAAGTATTTGGTCCATTTCATCCCCTAAACAATAGGGGTATTTATTGGCCAGAACCCATCCTACATGCAAAATTTCGTGAAGATTGGTTCATAACTGTGGCCTGTATCGTGTTTACAAATTATAATGGACCGACGGACAGACGGACGGACACACATGTCTAGATCGACTCAGCTAGTCAAGATATGACGATCGGTATACTTAACTAGACCCACCTAGGACCAATATTTCGCGGCGTTACAAACTCTTGGGGCTGCACAAAGCTATAATACCCTGACAACATAGTTTTGTAGGGTATAAATATAGGAAATCTTTTGGTATAGCCCGTATACAAAACCGAAATGGCTAAATTATGACATTCATGATCGTAGCCCAACTATACAAGCTGAATGTCCGTACTTTGTATTAAGATTTTCTAATGGCCAGACTTTTAGATATACAATGGGATGGACCTATATATATAGGTTCATCCCATTGTGGGGGGTATAAAAAATTCGGTCCGGCGAGAGCAATGACATATTTACTTGTTTCTTAATGCCCCGTAATATAAAGCCACTTTGTGCCCGGTAAAAAAGGAGTTGATTTGAGTCAATGTTAAAGAGCTCTCATGGCCATGGTGCGCAAAGTAATATTGATATTCCAGAATTGTCCGTCCTACTTTGTTCAAACTACAAAGTCCACAGGACACTATTTGCTTCAAAGAACTTTCGTTGGTTTTAGCCAGCCTTCGTTTTGTTTCGGAATCCTAGGCATTGATCTTTGCAGCCATCGACCTATCGAGTGATTGTCAAATAGTATGAAAATCAACGAGAACGAGCCTTTTTTACGGACAGGAAGTCATGCAATATAAATATTTTACATGTGGAAGAAATGCCCAAGAATGCTTCTATACCGATCTTATTTCGTCAAAACGTATTGAGTACGTTTGTGCTAACGGATTTCAAACTTTGCAATGGTAGATGAAGCCATGCACTACTTAGTGAAATATGCTAAATATGTTCCTTGAAACCCATTTACAATA